ACATTCTAGAACATTCCCCACACAAAGTCAATCACCAACAAACCTGCCGGTGACCACACCTGTTGCTTGTTGACATTACTCACACGTGACCATAGAGAACATTACTCACGCTTGTGTGAGTGTAAGAAACTCATGGTGACGTCATGGTAACGTGTCAGGAGAAACCACTCCAAAAATACTAAAAACCTGACAAACTTGGTATGCACTTGTTACTTAACGGTTTTACAAAGAAGTGCGTATAACGGAAACGAATAGATTATCTCTTAACAGATTAAATCACATGCTACTGTAACATATAATCTTAGTATCTTAACTTCCTGAAAGACCTGTTTTGATGATTGGGGGCCAATGGCTTAAAATGGCATAAAATGCATAAAATGGCATAAAAGGCATAAATATGAGACTTTTTTCTATGGAAAATGAAAACCCCAAATATCTCCCATTTATGCCATGTTAATGCCATGAATGTTCTTCGAATTTTCATCTTTAACACCACTTTAACACCTAAATAGTACATCCTAACATTTATTTACACTTACTAGGGGCGTAACAACTGTTTGAGTGATTTAGAGATTTAGCCAACTGCTAAAGCCTGGGCTACTCACAGACTTACCAGTTACCATGACAATTTACCAGTTACTGCTTCAGTTTAGTCAGCAATCATCACACAACCCTGTCTGTAAACACAATGTCTGGCCTATTAAAGATAATGTGACATTTCGGAAGTTCTAACTGCATCAAATTCGGCATTTTGCCAGAAATAAGTTCGTCTGATTTTCAAGATTCTGATTTCAACGTACACACAGGACATTGACTTACAATAAACCGATCATGCGGCAATGACTTGAAGACTTTTACACGGAGATCCCGTAATAACTAAGAATGTCATCACACATTCACATATTCACACATTCACATATTCACATATTCACATATTTAATTACACGTCACCCCCGGCTTGTTTTCACAAACAACATATTCAAATTTTGTGTATACAGTTTGTATTATATTAACAATTAACCCATCACACTAAACTCTCCTAAGATTACCCGCTTTACGTTTTTGACTTTATAACGCGCTAAAATCACAATAATTTAATAGAATATGTCTGAAAGTAAATGATGTGCTTCATTTCTGCAAGTGTGTACAATCACTAGGTAAATGTGTATATAAAAAATAAAATGTTTACTCTGCAAACAGACATGTTATACATGTAACCATTTCATGAATAATAGTGAGTACAAGCTGAACAGCAGTGTCTTACAATTTATAGTGTAGTGAAATGAATTGGCGTATGGTGTCGTATCATTTTCCGAGGAAGCCGCTTTTTTTTTACACTACATTGATCAAATAATGATTTTCCTTGTACAAATATGATTGGGATCAAATTTTAGTTATTGGCTTCACGTATCGTGACAAATGGTACCGGCCTCATAAATGTCTGGGCCAACTTCATTTGAGAAATCGACATTTATACTGTGAATGCACTGACAATAGCTAGATCAACACTAAATATTTTATTAATCGGCTGCGTTAATTAATTCACCATCATAATGCAGTTTGATTGATTTCATGAATGGTCGATTTAAGTAATGTAATGTCATTCGATTTTAATAGAAATGCCCCGTGCGATGGATAATATGCGCTCTCATTTTCTATTCCGATTCCGCACTCCAAAATCCTCTTAACCGGGAAACAGAAACAAAATTCCAAGGTTCCCGTACATTGGGTACGAACATAGTAAAGACAAAATTATCGTCCTCGCTTTAGAATAATTTATAAGATACTTGTCTATTGAGGATTTTTAGAATTTTAAGAATTGATAAATACACCACTAATAAACACGGGATGTCATTTTCCCAACTATAAGTGATCGTTAGCACAAAATACACCACAAATAGTTGAATTCACACATTCACATATCCAAATAGTATCCAAATAAATATCTATATAAAATCTCTTCACAGCTGACAGCCTCAGTACATAGACTGTACTAATACTGTAACTTAAAAAGGTACAATTTCCAACACGTGATCCGCTCCGACCAATTTTTGATTTCAGTCACTGACAAACACGACATTGGTAACTTCCACACATTCACCCATTAAAATTATTTGAAAAATATTCGGCTTGAATACCAAGCATACTACATGTAACATACCCATCTTGTCTGCGGATAAACTATTGTGCCAATGTAACCAGGGTTACAAGTTGTGGAATGTGCGTGATCTACGTAAGCCTCAATGTGAACATCCCTATGTTATGGTCATCTATTTTGCGCTTTAATACTTCAAAAACCGTGTGATGGAATGTACTTCGGAAATTGGGCTATTAGTTTGGGATGACACCCAGCTAACATGTGTCCTACTGAAATTTTAAAATAGACAAACTGATTAGGATTGATTGGAGTCACATCTTTCCGCCGAAGCGACGATAAAATTTGGATAAAAACTACATATAAATGACATTCAGATCACACAGTCAGGTTGATGATAGATTTGAAAGGGTGGATACACAATTTGAAAATACCAACTGCCAAATACAATATTCAAATACATTCTACAATCTAAATTTGTATACATATAAAACCAACTTTGCAGCAGGGAACGGAAATCATCGGCTCGTACTGACCTTCCAATAAATTCATTTTTTCTATTTTTTAAATAATTACCATCCAAGTTACATTCTCAACCAGATTCTCATTTCATATAACTATACATTTTTCGAGTTTCCTAATACAACAAGAAAATACTAACTATTTTTTTAACAAGAACCCAAAACCGAGCCAAACCTTTACCGTCAAGAAGTTGACCAAAGTGCACACAAAGTTAGGGAAAACAACTTCCCTTCTTGTAGTTTCGAGAATTTCTTCTACATTTCAACACAGCTGTAATTTACACGCACAAAAAGTAAACCTTTGTAGTGTAGATTAGTAAACACCATATTTTACTACTGTAACCGCCTCTACAATACCAGTACAATATCAACCTCTAACTTTACTATCCCTGACAAACCCCCAAAATTTTCCCCCATTAACACAATTTTTAATTAACCAGTCTACAATATCACCCACCGCAAACTTGAAGCTTCATTACCCGCTCCAAAGATCGAAACCTAGTACCTGATATCTGGCCCAAACTTAAGTGTAGAACTTGATACGTGGAAATATTGTACCTGATTTTCTTACCAACATGGGGATTGGGGACTGGGGCAGTAGTTCAATATGATGTTGGGGATCTGTAACTTAGGCTCGGTGTTGTTATTCAATCAGAAATGGTAATCTCATCACGTTTTTTGGATTTCTTGGGATATATTTTCTTTCGATCACAAAGTGTCACCATCTATTCTACTCCTTACTATATTATACTGTACAAGATAACTCTTCAATGTACAAGATAAATCTTTACTGTACAATACCCGCTAATACTCGTAATGAGGTCAAATTTTAAGGAGATTAGCGGCTGATCTGAATTATGAAATGGTGGGCACCTTATTATGACGATCACGTGTCATCTTAAATGATCATCAAGTGATCTTGCGACGTTGTGCTGTATCACGCCTTACTGCAATCAAAACTCTTTTCAGGCTCGTCCCTCCGCAAGATTTCTACAGTCAGCTAATCAGAATACTCGCAGTAAGCACGTGGTCGTGGACAAACCAATCATAACAGTCCTTCAAGGTCACGTGTAATATTGACCATATTATTATGTTATAAAGCTGCCTTGTGACGGGTAAACAAATGGTGCCCGCTAAACCGGGCCTGTTTATCCCTGACATGGTCAGATTATGCGGGATATTATTCTGAATCTCGACACGTGATCAGTCAAGAGTCAGAATAATATCCCTCCTCTCTTCTTTTGAAGCACGCACGCTAAAGAAGCGTGATCTTTTTTGAAAAGGTATAATGTTTGCAGCACTAACTTTGTAGATGTACACCGTTTAACATTTATCCCAGCCAATATTTCCTACCAGCCTGCTCGAGCGGATCCCGAATTTTTCGAAATAATTATATTTCTCAAAGATGTCGGACTGGTAAACCAACAACAAAAATCCAGTTTTCCGGTACGCTGGCACAGGTGTTCTGCTTGCAATATAGCGGATTTATACACTGTATCTCACGGGGGCGATCATTACTGCAGACTGATAAATCTGATCACGTGATCTCAAACTCTGTCACGTGATCTCAAACTATGTCACGTGATCTGACTATACTCCTGCTCCAAAGTACCGTATTAAATTTGGGCGGGTCTGTATTATGACGAGTGTACAGGTACAATGGACCCTGTTGTCGGATGTAATAGTATGCCAGGAAGGGAGGTTCAATAGTCTATAGTATTTATTATAATATATTATTTATTATAATATATTATTTATCATATTATATTATACAATAATATAGAATATTATAGTAATACCGCGAGGGCTTGGCACTGTCTGTAGGCGTGGTTACAGATAATTTCATAGTTTGGTCGAGAATATAACGGTTGTGCAATATATTATGTAACAGAGATTTGTTCAGATCTAGATCTAATACAGAACATTTATTAAAATATAACTTATTCAAAGTTTATACATACGCTCTTTTCTGGATGAAATGTCCACCAAGCTCAAGGTTATGCCGTAAGTGAGATGTAAAAAATGATCAATCAATCTTTAGTCAAGGATAGATAGATATGTTTCTACGACTTTTACACAACATAATGCCTCATGACACGTCGTTTATTTGTATTCTCTTTGCTGTATTGTATATTATGTACTATTTGTAAAAGTTTCAAATCAAAATCAGATAACGGCCATAGATCGATCCTAGAAAACATTTAGGAATAACATTAAATCTAACACCATGCTTAACAAATATGACACGTACTGAGCTTTTCCATAAAGTTAATTTAAACGTAGGTATTCATTACATTTTAATTAAGTTCAGTGAAGTGTGGGCTGACATTATTATGTGTAACCTTTATTAAATAAAGTAAAAATGTAAGTAAAAATGTACATACCCTGTTATTGAACTTGTGGCTTCTTAAGTTGTTGTTATTGTTGTTGTTTCTTTGACCCTGTCCCTGGTTGTTGTTGTTGTTGTTGTTTCGTTTGAAGTTGTTATTTCCTCCCCGGTTGTTGGAAATTCCACGTGTACTGCCTCCACGGTTGTTTAACCTTCAGGAATGTGGGAGTTATTTGAGGATAATTTTAGAAAATTGATAATAATTACTGAGATTATGTTGAGAATGTTCCGAAGAATTATCTGGAGAATTCTGGATAAAACAGAGTTTAAAGATAATTTTCTAGAGCTATCAGACAGTATTCTAGAGCTATCAGATGGTGTTCTAGTGTTTTCATCGAACGAAAATTATTAAAGTAGCGTTTTACAAGATACCTAGAATTTAATCACATTTAAGATATAAATAACTTGGAATCCCGTTGGCGATATTATTTCAAAATACTGCATAAGAATCGGCACTAGGATGATGTGATGTTATTTTTTATTTTCAAAGAAGGTATACCAAAGAAAATTAAAGTTTAAAAGTTTAAATATCCAAGACTAAAATAATTCAACTCTAAAACTAAATAAATTCCTGGTAAGCAATTATTAACAAACCTTTTGACGGGACTCTGTTTGTTGGTGTAAGTGTTTGCAGTGTTGGCTCTGTTTATCCCACCACGACCACCGCGACCTACACAACAAAACTAAATGAGTACAAAACTACGTGGGTACAGGTAAGTGATCCTACTTGCGTTATCCTGCTTAGTACATGCGTGATTCTACTTAAGTCATCCTAAATTAAATAACTGAATAACCAGGACAATTAATAGATTATTGATGTGTTGATATATAATTAGATTATTAAATTAACGAAAGCAGGGTATTATAAAATAATGTAATAACTGTACCTCCGCGACCTCCACCTCGTGCAACGTTCTTGCCTCTGTTATTGTTAGCGACACCCTTAAAACTATTTGGGCCTTGTTTGTTGTTGCTGTTTGCTTTGACTACTGCTTGTTTTCCTTTACCACGGGCTCCTCCTGAAATAAATGGTATTTTAATAAAAGTATGTTTTTGAATGCGGAGTGCGTAATACGTAAGCCATTTTTGTCCGTTTTAAACCCCCCTTACCCTTCGTAAGTCACTCAACACAAATTACAATCTTTTCCAAACCCCCTCCCCCAAAATATGTAAACGATCCTCAACACATCATAATATCAAATAGTTTCTTGCTGTAAACTTGTAACTCAACTACAATCATAACTGTGAAGACTTATAACCAATTAAAATACAGTTCAATAAAAATTAAACTAAAGACACAACAAACCTCGGCCTCTAACGACAGCACCACCCCTCGACACCTTAAAACTCTTCTTGTCCTTCTTGATGATATCATCTGAGGTTGACACAGTGATAGGGATCAGGTCTGCCATTTAAATTTTAAGTGAGATGGAACAGTTTCGAATTTTCAGTAGTTTGAATAGTAAGAATACAGGAGCTGTGGTAATCCTTTAGACTAGAAGGATCTAATTTCTCAGCAAAAATGTTCCATCCCACATAACACCAGTGCAGCAAGTAAGTTATTAGATTACCGTTAAATAATAAATATCAAGCAAGCTTCTGGGGGACAAACTTTTAACTTATTGCTTATTACTAATCAGCATGCAATCCATCAAATTTTTACCAGCTATAAAAATGAAAGATTGCATCTCGGGAAGTATTAATACCCTAATTAGTAATTAGTAATCACATATAATACAAAAAGGAAATGACACACTCCTAATTAGGTTTAAACATTTACAATGTGGTGCATGTAACAAACCTCCAATAAACTATGGGACGACAAATAAACTTGAGAATGGGAGAAAGACGATCGTTGAGAATCTTTCACGCTGAATTCTTTGTCAAAGCTTTTACTGTAGGCATCCGGCACAGGATAGATCAAGCGATATTATCTCAGATAAACTGATGTGAACGGCAAGGTTACTTATTGAAGGGGAGATGTTTCTTTCACAACATTTCCATGAAAGTCGGTGTGGAGTCTTTCATTATCCTATCAAGGAGTCTGAAGCAGGTAAGTTAGGAACAGGTAGAATACTTTTCTTTGTAGTAATCGGGAAAACGCTTCGATTAGGCTTCCGAAATGTCATTCCCTGTTGAACGTTCTTGAAAATTCATCATGTTGAGCATTCTCCTCTGTACATCTTGGAACATCTCTGATCGGATAAAAAAGTATCGATCTTTAGACCGTGACTAGGTATCCGTGTCATTCTTTAGAAAAGGTAAGTTTTTGTTAGCGGGATAGAATTGGTTCCTCTATCAATGAGTCTTCAGCAGATATCCAGTTGTAACAAGAACAATCAGAATCCTTCGCATATCAAGGCTCATCGTAAGAAGAGAAATGATCACCAAATCCACAGTTTGATCATGTCATGGTCAACAACATGAAAACAACAGGAACAAAGCTCAACAGGCTTCTATCATCGTATCTTTTTTACATCTCTTAAGATCTTTATAAGGAGCAGTCATTATTTCATCTGAGAACACCATTTTTAGTTGCGGTATCCTGGGTTTTTGCAACTTTACAAGAGTTGAAAACTATGGTGTCAAGCTTGGTCGTGAAGTTTTTATTTCAGGTATACTGTCTGGGGAGTTTAAAACGCATCTCGTATCTGTATCTGCATACAATCGTCAGTAAACAACTTATCATTCGTAGTAACATCTTTGAAACCTCTATCGATGAGTCTTTGAAGTAGAATCTTTCTCCGTCTTTCAGTGTCGTAGAATCAGTAAAAAAGTCGCATAGCGTTGATAATCGGGAACTGCACATCAATCAGGACTATTTTTCTATCGTTTAGAAAGCTAGTTTCCGTAGACAGGCTGACCACGTCAATTCCCGGGGGATAGCAATGTGATATTGGTAGCTTAGTTTTGCTGTGTTATCATTGCATGACTGGTAACCCAGTTTTCGATACAGTTTGCTTGTTTTCTAAAAACATCGCATATATTCGAATACATTTATCTGATTCATCATCGATTGCTTACTCCTCGAGCAATGATGTATTACGGTATAACAGATACGTAAGTATCTGTACACATGTATACATGTGAACGCATCTTAAAACTATCTACTGTCCCAATCAGTAGTAACGGTTAGCTGTTGCTTGCAACAAGCAAGCTATACAAGTTTAGCCTTGCTTTCAACCGATATATTAGATAAATTAGTCAACCTGAACAGGTGTCTGCCTGTCAGGTTTCCTATCCCTTCAATAGTTGTGACATATTAAGATAACAAAAGTATGCTCTAATATCAAGCTTTAGGTGACGAAGAAGATGCCAATATTAGGTAGGGGTTCACTGCACAAAATGAAGCACAAAACGAAGCACAAAATGACGCACGGGATGGATCTCAGTAAGCACAGGATGAATCACAGGATGAAGAAAGTTATAAAGCATGGAGAATTTCGTTCTTCATCAATGAGTTTGTTTCGTTACTTTCAACATAACATATTCTGATAGATAATGGAGCGGGAGGGTCCGCATTCAGAAGGCAAAAATCAGGAATATCAGCTTTCAGCTCGGATAAGATGTCATGACCGTTGAATTTAAACTTTTAAAGATACTGATATTACGTCAGATTTAATGATACTTGTATGAAAATGTCATGATGAATGGTTAACCATTCAGAGCAGTAGGCTTGCGCATCAAAAATATATGCTTTTTCAGAGACGATCTTGAAGCAGGCATCCGTTCGGTTCATTCCGTTTATACCAAGAAACACCATATTTTACTTATAAAATTGTCTAAGACAATTTTTCTCTCAGACTTCTTTTCAGATGCGTTTTTGCAGGATTTCTACCCAAAGAAAGAGTCCAAAGGTGTAAGAAGTTGAGATACTTAGATTGGAAACCCAGAGTTAGTAGTTCCGTTTTATACCCTCAAATACTTCCGTAAAATGGGCAGGTCTAAATTGGAGCTTGATTTCCCAAAGTAAGTAAGATCAGTGTCCAGACTCTTATAATAGATTTCAGTTCTTCTCGGAGATAGGGCGACAGCCTGGGGATGATGGAGCCTTTGCAGAATGATGAAATGTAGCAGTTTAGAGACGAGGTTGCTTAGACAGGATGATCCAATCTCATCATGAAGCAGTGTCCGGATGAAACCTTAACCTCAGCTCAAGAAAATGGAGCAGTATCCGGATGAAACCTTAGTGAAGAACTCATTGCACAATATCAGAGTTAGGTACTAGCCAGGTAGCAAAATATTCTCTATGATTAAAGGTAACTGAGTTGCAGTTTTCATCAAACATCGACTTTTTGTGAAAATCAATGACATCATCCCCACTTATAACATTGTTAGGATCACACTATGCTTGTTTCAGCTCACAGATTTAATGACGGATATGATGAGGCAGTTTATGCAGTGAACCCCACCCAAATACAGACAAGTTGCCACCCCACACTTTACTCCTGCTGAGGATATGGGATATTAGGAGATACATGATTATAGAGGGGTATTAATCAGTCACTCACAGATTATATGGATTCAATAATTGTTTAAGCTATTTTAAATTATCTGATTAATTCTGCACAACTGCACAGTGCAATTGAGTGCCAACTATGAATATAAAATAAAATCTGCTGGAGTAGAAAAGCAGTTTTCAGAATTGAACTACCTTAATTTCCGTTTGATTCAAACATCAGGAGAATTTCAAGTCGTATAAGATACAGTCCATAACTTCTAGTTAAAACTATAACTAGTAAAATTTCAAAGTACAACTTGGCCAAAAAGTCAAAAGTGCTACAAGACTCTTACCTAAAGCCATGTTGATCTTCTCGTTTCCCATAATGAATTGTCTTTACACTTGACTCTAGTAAAAGGTCAACCGGTTAAAAGTCATAATTGATGAAAATCATTTTCTTAAGAAAGATTAAGATTCAAAGAAATTAATCAAAGTCATGACATCGGTAACGCAATTTTACTAGCGATAAACCAACTTGTGATTCAAGGAAGATGTCTTGTTTTGAGCTTAGTTATTGGTTATTTGAAGCAGTAACTGGTCATTTGTACAATGTACATTACAAACACATTTAATGAAAAATTATATCTTTGAACAAAATATTTAATAAATTCGGATTTTATTATATGGTTCAAGTAATTATGGTGTTCATAGTCTATAATACAGCCTGATTAAGAATAAAAATTAAATAAGCACATTTCAATAATTGAAACTAAAATTTCGTTCAGTGTTTGTAAAATTGAAAATTTTAGTCGCAATTGCAGGTTGTATCAAAAAACGTTTTAAGACAGTTTCAATAACTTATACTATTAACATCATAATGCAGTATTATAAACTATCAACGCCAGAAAACCGGGAAAATAATTATACATAATTAACATCATGTTTACGACATATGGTCAGTGCAGTTGTAACAGTAAAACCACCTCTCTTGTGAAAAAACCGGTGAGTGATCCCATGAAAATATCATTATGAAAAATTACAATTTCAAATCATGGTAATTTTAAAAATTAAAATCATCAACTCATAATTTACAATTTTCTACTGAAAAGGATTAATACTCTAATCTAACTTCTTCTGGGAGTCAACATTCTGGGCGGGGAAAACTTGTATCCAAGTACAGTAATCAAGATGGCACAGGGCACAGTCACATAACAGGGGAGGAATTGAATTAAACAAGCAATTATGTAGATTAGTCGAGGATTGTTCCTGGATAGAACTGGCTGTTCAACAGAAGATTTGCGAAGAAACCTAAAGCAGGATCAGCACCAGTGTTAAACTCAACAGGTTCTTGGCTTCTTCATCTGAAAATATGTTTTCAATGTCACTGTCAACAACTTGTTCAGCTTCAGTATGTTTGGATAGTTCAGTTTTGAAGCTTAGAACCAGATCTTCCTCATCTTCTGATACTTTATCTTCAGTAACCTCCTCACTTTCAAGTGGACTGCAGATAAACGGGGGTTGGGGGATTCTGAAACTGATTCCGGAATTGATTCTGGGATGGGTTCTGGAGCATCAACCTCTGGAATCGGATCATCCTCAACTGATTGCCTTTTCTTTAAAGCTGAGCGTCTGTCAAAGCCATTCTCAGTAGAGTGCTCTTTGCTTTCAATTGTAGATGGTAAGAAATGGTTCTTATTTGGAACAGATGGTGAATCAAGATCAAAAGCTGCAGAGATTTCTGAATTTATTGAAAAATTATCTGAATCACAATCCGTGTTGTGGAGTATCCTAACACTCTCTGATCTTTTTGCTTTCTTAGACTTCTTAGTTGCACGCTTCCATATTCTATCAAAGTGTTCAACATCATTCTTCAAGCTGGGCAATTTCATGAGCAATGCTTCTTTTTGCATGTCAGTTAGTCCTGGAGTACTGTAAACAATGCATCGCTTAAGCTCCCTGGTCCATCGATCTTTTTGCTCAGGGTCTTTTGACAACATTGTATAAGATTCAGAACCTTTTCCAAGAACTGACCATTTTAGAAAGTCGTTGTCCACCTGCTCTTTCAAAGTAATATTGTTCATAGGGAGTGAATTTTTGTAAGAGAAAATACCATCTGCCTCCTTCTTTTTAGTGAACAGCAAACAATCTTTGAATAAGAACAAAATTCGAGGATCTTTGGCACCAGAAACTTTAAATGAATCCTCCAACAAGAGATCGCCCATTGACCTCAGGTCACCTCCTTTCCATCCAACTAATTCATGGGCCTGTAACTCTTGTACACGTTTTACAGAATTTATCTTCACAGCAGTAACCAAAAGTTTGTCGGGAGTCTTGTTTCAACCACAATGTCCATGACCATCAATTGAAAATCAGGCTTTTGTTTTTTTTTTTTTTTTTTTAGCCATATCTTTAAAAAGAAGGGGATACTTGAGGAATCTTTGCACAGCTCTATGCAGGTACTCTTCAACTGGAAACATGTGACCCAGTTCAGACTGGCATTGAGCCAGAGCACTCCTGTAAGGATCCACACCATGCAACTCTTCAAGTTTCTCCAGTGATTTGGGAAAGGCAGAACAAAAGTCAATGTACATTTTGGCTAAAATATCGATATTTTCAATGAAAAGCTTAGCTACAAGTCTGTGGTCTGAATCACACTCAAGTAACTGACGGTGGAGATTGTCATGAAAGGAGCAAATATCTTCAATGTTAACAAACACTTCACTAATTGTTGCATCATCAAATCCACTTGACATATCACGTCTCAATCTCTTGATGTAGCCCTCTATGACATCAGTGAGTGCTCTGACGTAGGTTGCCTCAGTCTCATTCATTTCATCTATCAAGAACCCAACATGCTTTAGCTTTTTCTCGATTTCATTAAGGTTCGATGGAAATGAACTAATTTTATCCAATGAGTGCTCTGAACCAGAAGATGCACTTTTCAGAGAGGACACATCAGAAAGTGTAAATCCTGGCTGGGTACTGTCATCTATCTCAACAGATGGTATAGGAGAATGAGAAACAAATTGATCACCCATAATGAGAATGCAGTTGCTCTACTGGGTATGAGACAGGTGCATCATGGTAGAGGGAATTCAATATATCAGGAACCTTCCATTCAGATACTTTCTGGTGAAGAAAATTATTAGCATACATAATTCATAATGCTAGTTATGGCTAAGGTAAAAATGAAAATTCATTCACAGAGATAACAATACAAACTATCGATATTATTCTCTTACTTTATAAATAGCAGCATAATATATGAATACAATGTCAACACGTGCCTAAACTAAAGAATCATACATCGCATGTGTGAGATAAAAGATAAAACGTTTATTGGTAGAAACAGACAAAAGCATGCAGAGGATTGTCTGCAAGGGCAGCTGACCCTAATTCTGTGCATAAGAAACAATATGGTTACTCGAGGAAGGTTGCGTGATATTTAGGTAAATGCATCTGTCATTATCAAAAGTATAAAATGTCAGTCAGGCTTTCAAGCAGGCAGGAGTACAGCAGATAATCTTATTCTTATGTCAATGGTTCTGGAATCATTTAACAACGACTCGGAACAAGAGGGTCTCCTTTTACAGATTGATTTTGAAAAGTGTTTTGACTCGGTAGAACATAACTTTGTCTTCAGTACGCTTGAAAAATTAGGTTTCAGTGATTATATTATTAAGTTGATTAAAGTGGCTTTTCAGGCGTGCTTTAGCTATGCAAATATTAATGGGTTTTTAAGCGCACCTATTTATCTCCTCAGAGGTCTTCATCAGGGTAGCCCACTCTCTCCTATTCTATTTCTACTTGTGGCTCAAACTTTCTCGAATAAACTTCAGATCAACCCTAATATCAGGGGTATTAACATATAATCGGGTGTGGAAATTCTACAGAGTCTCTTTGCAGACGACACTGATCTTTTTCTGAAAGCTTCATTAGAGAGTATAGAGGCGGTTATGGTAGAACTCAGAACGTTTGCTAAGTGCTCGGGGTGTAAAGCTAACATCGACAAAACTAGATGTATTCCTTTAGGTCGTGCTCGCCTTAATACAACTCTTCTAGAGTCCCTTCAAAGGGACTACGGCGAGGATTTTATTACAAATAACTTTACGGCTTTGGGTATAATTTATAGGAATGATGGCTCACTTATGGATATAGTCAACAGTAATTATAATGATAAATTGATTAAGGTTCGGTCTTGGATTAACAGGTGGAACAAGAGGGATCTGACGGTAATGGGTAAATGTACAGTTATCAAAACTCTCCTCTTTTCCCAATTAACATACCTGGTTCCTCCTCTCCCCAGACCAGATGCTTCCTTTATCAGAACTTTTGACACGATTATATTCCATTTTCTTTGGGGTTGCAAACGGGATAAAATAAAACGTGAAATCATAACCCGAAACAAGGAACATGGAGGCCTGGGACTATTTTATTTATCCGATTTTATCATAGGTCTTAAAACTAGTCTTATTTCAAAGCTACTAAATGATTCCTTTCACCACACTTGGAAAGATATTATGATAATGCAACTGAAATTTCCCGAGCACATCACCATCTCTGTAGAAAACGGTCTCGCTAATATCAACTGTAATTTTACACAGGACGTACTTAATTGCTACACTGAGTGGAAGATTAGTTCGGCTAATGCAGCCTTGGGTTCTATTGATCACTGTGTGTGGTCCAACCCAGCAATAACCGACATCGGGGCCAAACTTTGGAACAACCATCTTATTGATAAGGGAATATTTTACATCTCAGATTTCCTTTCTATAGATCAAAGTACACTCCTTAACTACGATATGTTCATGAACAAGTGGGAGCTGTCTCCGAATACGATTTCCAAAATTGACTACTGTAACATTATCATGGGGATACGGAGATATAACTGTCCCACGATTAACTCAAGGAATATCGAATTTGTTGACCCGAATATAAAACTTCAATTTTTACATTCTGCAACTGGGCAGGTGAAGGGAAGCAAAATTCGGGATAAAATGTACGATTCTATTTGCCCAAACGAGCTGACTCCTTTACGTCAATGGGTTATCGACTTGAACAGTCATTCCATCGATTGGGCAGTCGTTCTAAGCAACCTGTTTTTCTTAGTATCTAAAAACTTTAAGTTGATTCAATTTCAGTACAAACTTTTAATGAGGATCACAACGTGTAGATACATGAGACATAAGATGAAAATTGTTACAGATACTCCCATGTGTAGCCTGTGTAAAACATATTTAGAAACTATTCCTCATAGTTACCTCCATTGTATTCACACAAATAGCTTCATCACAATACTTGAAGACTTTATTAAAAGGAAAATCGATAGAAATTACGAAGATCCCACTAAAATTAATTTTATAGTCTGTAATCACACTTCACAAATTATAAATTATTTTAATATCGTTGC